GGCAACGGCGTTGTAGAACAAGCCCCCTCCTCGGTGTTTGCCGTCGGGATTGGGTTTTCGTCGCTGGGCAACGACGTTGTAGAACGAGCCAATTCACTTCGTGAACTCGGCAACCAGGTTACCGTTTTTTTTTACCTCTGTTTTTTTTTTTTTGCGGTAACCATAGTGGTGGTCGAGTAGATCATGTTGTGCGGGGTCGAGAACCCTACTCCGCGCAAGGGGGATGATCGCACCACGTTGTGAAAATGGTCAAGCATCCTCGAGGCAACTACACAGTGCTTATAACTGTCTCTGGAAGTGACAGCACCAGAAAATAAATTAAGTCATACGCAGCTGTCATCCGTACGCAAGGAAGTAAGCACAAGATGCCGAACACCCTTGGCAGGATGCAGCGCACCCTTCATGCGACTCGCCGAATACCTCACGGCGCTTCGCGCTCCGTGATGTGAGAGCCTGGTCCGGTGAGAACCCGTCGTGCTCCGTACCGGCTTTGTAGAGATGCGAGGTCAATGGTCTAACGACTACTACGGCATGCACGACTATGAGTACACCCCCCCCCCCCCCAAGGCTTGCCTGGTGGTTGAGGAAACCCGGCATCTCTCGCCCCCTCAGCGCCGCGATCTCCCTGCCCAGCCTGTCCCCGAAGCCGACGTCGTTGAACCCCGGCACGGTGGCGGCGATGTTTTGGTGCAGCTGCCGGAAGATGGCCTGGCTCGCCGCGTGAAGCCTCAGGGTGGGCTTTGCGGAGAGCACGTCGTCCCGGTAGTAGCCCCTCGCAGACTATATTAATGGTAAGGTTTTCGTCGGGAATGTGACACATTTGGGGGGCGGGGGGGCGGGGGAGCGGGGTGGTTTGCGGTGGTGTTGAAAGGACGTTGTCGCGGTAGTAGTTACTCGGGCTCTTGTTGAGAATGTGGCATTTGCGCCAACGATTTTTTTCAGTGAAAATTGTGAAGCAGAATGTGGTGTTTGTGGTGTTTGTGGGGGGGGGGCGTACTCATGTC